CACCTCCCTTCCCTCCCATTCTCTTCCCTGCCCTGATGAAGGCTGGATCTGGAGTCATCTTTTTTGGGGGGGTGGGGGGTTGCCCCTCTTCCCCTTTCCAAATATTTTATGGGCAGCCCCAGAACTGAACAAGGAAAAGAAAACAGCTGACCTTCAGGGAAGTGCCAGGGCCAGAATGGATCTCAACTCTGCCACTCCAATCTTCTTCCCTTTTTTTGGCTTTTCATTTTTGCTTTTCATGTATCTAGCCACTCATATTTTTTCTTGTCTTCATCTATGCGCTTTAATTCTCAACTGCATTTTTGAAATTTATTCTTTTTTTAAAAAATTGATTCCAAAATTAAAACTAACAAAAAAATTGTGAAATCGTCAAGGGCACAGTTAATTTACCAAAGTATATTTCCCACCTTCAGAGAACTGGTTCTTGCTACTATTTTTCTGGCTTTTGTTCCTCCCTCCTTATCTTAACCTCAGTTCTCAACTGCATTTACAAAACAAGCTAGGACTAATTGGAGTCCAAAACACACTGCAGAAATAATCCAGTTTGACACCGCTTTAACTGCCCTGACTCCATGCTAGGGAGTCCTGGGAAGTGTAGTTTTGTGAGACATTGAGCCTTCTCTGTCAGAGAGCTCAGGGGCCACAATAAACTACAATTTCCCAGGATTCCCTAGCACTGAGCCAGCGCTGTTAAAGTGATCTCAAACTGGATTATTTCTGCAGTGTATTTTGGACAAAGGATGCACAAAATTTGGCAACTGGTGTCCTTTCCCCAGTAGTGGAAAGAGTGCCTTTAATCATATTATGATCATTGATCTTTATCACACAACCCAGGGTCCCAGCATATCCTGCTAGGAGATGGACAAATGTAGGGAACCATAGTGCTCCCCCTTCTCAAAAGGTACGGTGTAAAGGACTAGTAGTATTATCATGTGAATATTTACTCACTACTCAGGAAGTCCAGATGGATTTACTCCCAACTGTTTGACGGTAGTGTCATTAGGGTTGGTGTCATATGGTGTAGATCAGGGGTAGGCAACCTTTCCCCTTTAAGACTTCAGCTCCCAGAAGCCTCAGCCATGTTGGCCAGTAGTCCCATGTTGGCCAATAGCTCCTGGGATTCTGGGAGCTGAAGTCCCTCGGCCCTTAAAGGGGAAAGGTTGCCTACCCCTAGTGTAGATACTCATGGTGTCACCCCACAATTGACCTCCCATATCATATCACACCATACAGAATCCAAAGTAACGTGTTTTTTGTACTAATGGTATTCATAAATCATAATTCCCTTATATCACTGAATGCAGCAATATCAATAGTTGTGACATAAACAACTAGCAAAATCAAAGTTATACCTTTACATTACAATATCATATATACAGGCTAAATAATTTTTACAATAATAATAATAATAATAATAATAATAATAATAATAATAATAATATGTATTTCTTACCCGCCTCTCCTCAATGATCGAAATGAGGAACAACAACAATTAACAAACAAACAAACATCAGTTTAAAAGACACCACTTAAAACACACATCAATTTAAACGGGCAAACAAAATATACACATATTAAAACAATCCACATTGGAAATTCATCATTGAAAATTCACACTTTAAAAATCATCTGGATTACATGGATATAGTTTAATGTGGTTAAAGTGGAAAAAATTGGTAAGATGTGATGTTTTGAAATAAATTTTTAAAAACTATTTTGAAATCTTGAAGCTACTCCTTTCTTCTCCCACTGAGCCTCACTCCATTCAGCTCTTCCACTTAGCATTTTGAAGGGAGGCAGGCCACAGCCCATTTCTACCCAAAATGGTTTGAGTGTTGGACTATGACTCTGGAGACCAAGGCTCAATTCCCAGCTTGGCCATGAAACCCAGTGGGTAACCCTGGGCAAGTCACATACTCTCAGCCTCAGGAGAATGCAATAGCAAACCTCTGAACAAATCTTGCCAAGAAAATCCCAGGATAGGGTCACTTTAGGATCACCATAAGACAGAAATGACTTGGAGACACACAACCACCACCACCACCCTCACCCTCGGCACTCCTAGTGATGCCCCCTGGGCTGCCTTGGAGCATGATGGACTAACCCTCTTTGGAAGTCTTCAGACAGAGGTTGGAGGGGCATCTTTCTGGAGTGCTTTAATTGTGTATTCCTGCAGGGCAAGGGGCTGGGTTAGATGGCACTTTGTGGTCCCTTCCATCTCTAAGATCCTATGAACTAAGGGGGGTTGCAGACTGCCAGAAATAGTGCAAATTGAGTCCACTTTTAGGGTTAGGGTTAGTGCTAAGGAATCATGGGAACTGGTTTTTTTCTGAGACATTGAGCCTTCTCTGTCAGAGAGCTCTGGTGCCACAATAAAATACAGTTCCCATGATTCCCTAACCCTAACCCTAACCCTAAAAGTAGACTCAATTTGCACTATTTCTGGCAGTCTGCAACCCCCCTAACTGCCAGAAATAATGCAGCTTGAGGCCACTTTAACTATCCTGCTTCTATGCTAGGGAATCATGGGAACTGTAGTTTTTTCTGAGACATTGAGCCTTCTCTGTCAGAGAGCTCTAGTGCCACAATAAACTACAGTTCCCATGATTCCTTAGCACTGAGCCAGGGCAGTTAAAGTGCTCTCAAGCTGGATTATTTCTGTAAAGGCTCTAAGAGTTCATAGAGTTTTATTGCTCAGAGACCCAAAGATGTCAACCCTAGGCAACCTTTCTTTGAATTAAGTCCTACTGAGGAAGATGACAGTCTTCTGCATCCTTGTGGTGATCCTCATTATTCCCCCAATGTTTGTTTGTTTTATCTAGAATCATCATTCATTGTTCTTCATTTACATAAATTACCCTCTTGAATTAAGAACCAGATTTTCAAAGGCAGTACCTTTCCTAGGGCTCAACAGAAACTTGGAGGAGGTGGAAATGGAATGAGGAACTGTTAAATGTTTCACATTGCACTCCTATGAATATTTCTCAGGAGTAAGTTTAGTGAGTTTAATGGCAAAGATTCCCATGCTGAATACTTCACAGAAAGCCAAAGTGTGCTATAAAAAAATTTAAGGTACCAGCCTAGCCTAGCTACTTAGATGCTAACAGTTAGCAGCTAACTAGCAGCTAACCCATCATTCAACAACTGAGTTCATGGGTCTACTCTAGCTGGGCCTATCTAACAGACTCCAGCCAAAATTGCTACAAAAAGGATGCTTGTCTATTGTTCTGGACGTTGGTCAAGAAAAAGCTAAATATATATTTTCACATGCAGGAGTGAAAAGAGCCACAAGTTTTAATCCAAAGCAAAAAACAAAACAAAAAACTCCAAAGCAAAAAACAACAACAAAAAACTCAAATATTTTTGGAAACAATCATAAAATGTATGTGGAATAATGGCTAGGGTGTTAGACCAGGTTCTGATCTCCACTTAGCCATGAAACTCATTAGGTGACCCCTTGAATCAGTTTTTCTCCCTCCTGCTCTCTGGCCTCATCTGCACTGCAGAAATAATGCAGTTTGACGCCACTTTAACTGCCATGGCTCAATGCTATAGAATTCTGGGATTTGTAGTTTTGTGAGATATTTCGCCTTCTCTGTCAGAGAGCTCTGGTGCCACAACAAACTAAAGATTCTAGGATTCCATAGGATGGAGCCAGGGCAGTTAAAGTGATGTCGAAGTGGATTATTTCCGCAGTGCAAATGAGGCCTCTGACCATCCCCATAAGGCTGTTGGAGGAGGAGAGCCATCCACACCACTTTGAAGTAAAAACAGACATAAATGCAGCTAATAAATAAACAAATCTGATTTAATCCGCATCACACAAACAAATATGCACAAGTTTGCCTCCAAGGCCTATGTGTGTTACTCAGATGTAAGGCCCACAGTGTTCAATGGGATTTATTCCCATAGAAATGCTCAGGTGTGGCTGGTGAGGCAAGCGAAGATTCCTGTTCTTAATTTTCCCTCAAACCAATGTGCCCTACTTTATTATTTGTCAAACTGAGTAACTTGCAGAAAACTGGGGGGGGGGGGGCAGTGACTAAGGAGAGAGCCCCTACAGGACAAAGCAGTAGCAAGAACATTTCTATATTGCTTCTAAGCAGTTTACAATCTGTAAGCCAGTTGGCCCCAACAAGGTGGGTCCTCATTTTATTTACTTACAAAAGGATGGAAGGCTGAGTCAACCTTGGAGCCCCCTGCGATCGAACTCACAACGTTGTGGCTGCAGGACAAGACCAACAGTACAGTCAAAGCACCACTGATACCACAGTTTCTAAAAAAAAAAAAGAAAGAAAGAAATTGGCTACCTTTTTGTGGGAACTCAATTTCTTTCAAGTCTTCTAGAAATACAAAAGCCCTGTGCAAGCTATAATTAGCTGTTCAGACCAACTTTTGTAACAATAAACTTGCATTTCTGTTGCATCTGGAAGCTCTTCATGGCTCCCTGCAACCTGTGGCAGGCTGGCAATTGTTGTTGTGTGCCGTTGATTTGTTTCCAACTTACGGCAGCCCTAAGGCAACCCTATAATGAGTTTTCTTAGCAAGATTTGTTCAGAGAGGGTTTGCCTTTGCCCTCTTCTGAGGCTGAGAGAGTATGACTTGCTCAAGGTCAGCCAGTGGGTTTCAGTGGAGATTCGAACACTGGTCTCCAGAGTCATAGTCCAACACTCACATGACTATGCCAATGTACATCATTTAATTTTTATTACTTGGGATGTTTGGGAAGATGTATCTTTGACACTATGACCTAAATCTGATTGTTCTAGATAAAGTATACCCATTGAATGAATAGATAGATCTAACACCTGCACTGTTTTACCATTAAGCAATTGACTGAATGGATCTACTGTGGTGTTGTGTACCTTTAAGCAACCCTAAAGTAAACTTATCACTAGGTTTTTTTGGGTAGAATTTGTTCTGAGAGGGTTTGCTTTTGGTCTTTCTTCCTCTGAGGATGAGAGAGCATGACTTGTTCAAGGTGGACAAATGGGTTTCCATGGCTGAGCAAGGATTCGAACCCTGGTCTCCAGAGTCCTAGTCTACTGTTCAAACCACTATAGTACATTGGCTCTTGGATCTAGTAGTCTATGGCCTAGCAATTGGATTTAGGCCAAAAGGTATTTTGTAAAGTAGAGGAGAATGTTGTCTGAAGGTGTTTCTCCCCCTGGGGGGACTTTACTTCACAGAGATTTCAAGCATTTCAAAAACTTTCTGAAGTCCTCCAGATTTTATAGATCTAAAGAAATGCCAGGTGTCACTAGTTAAAAAAAACACCCAAAAACTTTATTATTTTTAGAAATGGTACTAGTGCACAGAAAGGTCAGTTACTGAGCCTGCTAACCTGGGAAAAAAAAACTTTAATACAACTCATTTCCTACAGAACTACTTTTGAGTAAGTGGCTTGCATTTTTTGACCTACACCTTGTAAGTCCCCAGCCCTGAGGGTCTAACAAAAAGCACAAATTAGATCTGCAAAGAGCCAAGAGAAATAGGTTTTGGGTAAAATGCCACATTTCTTGGCTCTTTAACAACCTCGTTTCAGTAATAACTGAAATAATGATTAAAATAATGATAAATATAACAACAACAACAACAACAACAAATTAATATATAATGATGGTAATGAAATATTAATTTGTGCTAAAAATTCCAACTTATGTCATTGGCTTTAGTTCAAAATTAAATTTAATTGCATTTCTTTTTATTAGGAAAAAAATCAATTTCACTAATTATTTTAGGAGGCTAATTCCTCTCCCCATATTTCCTCAAGACTGTAAGGATCAACCTTGCTTCAATGTTCACTCATTGTCTTCATATATGAGGAATTTTAAATATTAAATCCATTGTGTGTTATAACATCAGCTTTAACCATCTTGATCTTTTATAGTCATTATTATAGATGTTTCCTGTTAATATTCACCTCCCATTATTAGGTCATTTAATAATTTACACTTTCCCATCAATTTGCATCTCTACTCAATTAAGTTTTCTCTTTTACAGTACTGCAGTATCGGGATCCAGTCTTGTTCAATACTCTCTACATTTTGTTTGTTCAGTCTAGCTGTGAGTATATCCAGACTCATCATTTCAATAAGCCTTGTAAACCACTCACTGGTTGAGGGCACTTCTGCTAATTTCCATTTTTTTGCTAATGTAATCTGAGCTGAAGTTATCATATATAATAATATTCTCCCATATTTCCTTTCAATTTTTTCTAGGATCTTATTTGTCACGTTCAGCAGATATATTTCTGGTATCATGTCATATCTTATTTTAAATATTTCACAGATTACCTTATGAATTGTTATCCAATGTTTCCTAACTTTGTCACATTTCCACCATACATGTAACCAACATCCTGTGGTTTGGTTACACTTCCAACATCTATTATTGCCATTCTTATAAACTTTTGCTACTTTCGCTGGAGTAAGTACAAACTGGAGATACTTTGGAAGTCAATTGTAAATATTTGTATATAATGATTGGAAAAGAAATTAATATGTCAATTTGATAGATATGTTTGAATAATACATGTCAATAAAATATAAAATTAAAAGACTGTAAGAATCAGAAGTCCAGGTAACATGAAGAGAGATTTCTTCTAACATCCCCCCCCCCCCAAATAAATCTGTGTGGTTGGTAGTGGTACCCAGTAATACTATCTCGTTTTTATCTCACTTCTTAACCTACAAATTTGTGTTAATTGTGGACCTAAACACACTGCAGAAATAATCCAGTTTGAGACTGCTTTCATTGTCCTGGTTCAATGCAAGGAAATCCTAAGAATTGTAGTTTTGTGAGACATTGAGCCTTCTCTGTCAGAGAGCTCTGGTGCCACAATAAACTACAAATTCCCAGGATTCCCTAGCACTGGGGTAGGGCAGTGAAAGCAGCCTCAAAAGGGATGATTTATGCAGTGTGTTTTGGACCTGTGTTAAGTTTATGTTGATTTTATGCTGATATTAATAGATAATATGGGGGGGGAGGGGATTGGAAAGATGGGGGTGTGGGGCAGCTCAGTAGTTTATCATCATCATCATCGTTGTTTAGTTTTGATTTTTGTTTGTTAGGTTTTTTTCTTAGCAAGATTAGTGTTATGATGTTATGTGTATCTGAGTGTTTGTATAAGTTTTATGTTTTAAAACTTAATAAAACTGGTTTTTTTTGGTTTTTTAAAAAAGGGAGACCTACCCTCTGGCATAAAACTACTTTGGCTGCATCCACACTGCAGAAATAGTCCACCTTAATGCAGCTTTAACTGCTATGTCTCAATGCTACAGAATTATGGGGATTGTAGTTTTGTGAGACACTTAGTCTTCCCCGTCAGAGAGCTCTAGTGCCAAAATAAACTGCATTAAGCCATGGTAGTTCAACTACCATGGCTTAATGCTGTGGAATCCCTTGGATTTGTAGTTTATTATGGCAGTAGAGCTCTCTGACAGGAAAGACTAAATGTCTCACAAAACTACAATCCCCATAATTCCATAGCATCGAGACATAGCAGTTAAAGCTGCATCAAAGTGGACTATTTCTGCAGTGTGGATGAAGCCTTTGCATCTCGAACTCAAATCTGAAGCAACTGGTGGGAGCAATTCTACAGTGAAGGAATAATGCAGCTTGACACCACTTTAAGTGCCATAGCTCCATCCTATGGCATCCTGGGATTTGTAGTTTTATATCTTTGGCCCTTCCCACAAAACCTAGATTCCAGGATTCTGTAGCAAGGGGCTGCATCCACACTGCCGAAATAACCCAGGTCACCACTTTAAATGCCATGGCTCCATGCTGTGGAATTCTGAGATCTGTAGTTTTGTGAGACACGAAGCCTTCTCTGTCAGAGAGCTGTGGTGCCACAACATACTACAATTCCCACAACTCCACAGCACTGAGCCATGCTCGTTAAAGTGGGTCAACCTTGATTATTTCTACAATGTGGATGCAGCCAGGGAGCTATGACACTTACAGCAGTGTCAAACTGCATTATCTCTACGGTGTAGATCGGGGTAGGCAACCTTTCCCCTTTAAGGGCCGAGAGACTTCAGCTCCCAGAAGCCTCAGCCATGTTGGCCAATAGTCCCATGTTGGTCAATAGCTCTTGGGATTCTGGGAGCTGAAGTCCCTCGGCCCTTAAAGGGGAAAGGTTGCCTACCCCTGGTGTAGATGCACCCTGGTTTTGAAAGAGACTTATATCTGGTTTAAGACGGATGGCGGCATCAGCAGCGGACAAAGTAACAGCGCTTCCCTCAGAGCAGCGACCTCCACTTCAAAAAAAAAAAAAAAAAGGGACTCCTTCTCTCCTCGCGCCCAAACCGTCCAGATGGGGAGGGAGGATCTGTGGACATTTCCCATTGGTCCGTCCTCCAGCTGTACTCCCCTTTCAGCTTCTGTGATTGGACAGTCTAGTGACGAGGCGGGAGGGAAACCGTTGCCAGTGAGGGATAGTTCAGCCCAGCGCGCGAGGGGTGCGCGCTCGCCTTTTAAAAAAAAAAATGGCGCCCTCGCGCGCGTCGGTTGGAGCCGGCCACGGTCGCCGCAAGTGGGGGAAGGGCTTCTAAACAGCAGCGCTGTAGGGCTGAGGGAAAAGTTCGCCAGAGCTGCATCCACGCACTGCAGAAATACAGTAAATCCCTTTTGACACCACTTTTAACACACTGCCGTGGCTGAATGCTGTGGGATTCTGGGATTTGTAGTTTGTTCTGGCACCAGAGTCGTGTCAAACCAGATCATTTCTACAGTGAGGATGCATGCAGCCTGTTTGCTACCAAGCCTCTATCGAGAGCTGTGGGGCCAGATGTCCTCACCGCAAAGGAGGGTATTCGAGGGGAAAATGTTGGCGATGGCCAAATAAAAGCTCAAAACACTAGAAATAGAAATTCATGCTGCTTAGTCGTGCTCAAAATGGAGGGCACGACTGGATTAAAGGTTGAAATGTAGGACCACACGTCCTACATTTCCATGCCCTGGAAAAGGAGGACGTCTGGTCACCCTGATAGAGAGTCACCCTTAGAAAAGAAGCCTTAACGTTGAAATCTAATATGCCTAACACTAGAAATAGAGCAGTTTGAGACCACTTTAACAGGCATGACTCTGTCCTACAGAGCCCTGGGATTTGTAGTTAAGAGCTAGTGTGGTGTACTGGTTTGATTAGGACTCTGGAGACCAGGGTTCAAATCTCACACTGGCCATGCAAACCCATGGTGACCTTGAGCAAGTCACACTCCCTCAGCCTCAGAGGAAGGCAATGACAAATCCTCTTTGAACAAAACTTGCCAAGAAAACCCCATTATAGGATTGCCTTAGGTTGCCGTAACTTGGAAACTTGAAGGCACATTAGCACCAGAGCTCAGGCTTAATACCTCGCCACACCACAAATTCCAGGGCTCCACAGGATGGAGCCGTGACAGTTCAAGTGGTGTCAAACTGCTTTAATTCTGCAGTGTGGAAGGGCTGCATCCACAACTTTACACACACACACACACACACACACATAAAAAGGAAGGGAGAAAGGAATGTGGCAGCACTTTTAAGACTATCAGGTTTTTATTTTAGCAAGAAATTTTATGGATATAAGCCCACTTCTTCAGATATAGTACAGAATGATAATAAATGCTGAGGTATAAAGCATACATACAGAGTTGTGGGAGTGGGACAGAATGTAATAGGATCCAGAAAGACACAAATTTGGCCTTTGTCCTAAATTTTTTCAAAGAGCTCTGGTCAATAATTATCAAAGATCATGATATGCATCTTTCTGGATCCTATTCCACTTCCACAACTGTGTAAGAATACTATCTCCTGAGCCCTGGATATCACTCATACTGTATCTGAAGAAGCGGGTTTATATCCACAAAAGCTCACACTAAAATAAAACCTGGATTTAGTCTTAAAGGTGCTGCCACATTCTTTATCCCTCCCTCTTTTATGCTGCAAGAGACTGACAGGGCTACTTCTTTGAAAACACACTCTTGTGGATTCCTGCTTTAAAGTAGCATGCATACTAATGATATCACACTTTTTAAAGTACTTCTTGGCTCTTTTGTTTCTTTAAGGCAGGGTTGAGAAGTGGCAG